CTTCCCTGCCAGTGCTCACAGACCTCATCTCAGCCCCTGTGTGCCCAGCTCTGCCCTGCAGCCCCTCCATGTGTGCAGGGGCTAAAAAGTAGATCCCACAAACCTTGATGAGACTGGAAAGGGGATGCTGGTGCTCTCTGTAGCCCATGAGCTGGAAACTGAAAACACAGACTCAGGAAAGCTCCTTATCTATACAGTAATCCCTCCTTTGACCTCCCAGTTGAAAAGTCCTTTGCGAATTGTCACACTATGTACCCAGAAAAACAAGATGAGAAACCTCAAAAGATGGACAGCTTTCCTTTCAGGTAACGCAATCTTGGAAAATTCCCTTAGAAATGATGAGGGGGACGCTAGAGCTGTGAGCAGCCAGCCTTGACCCATGCGGCACTCTGCAGAGCAGAATGACCCTGCCCTGCTGGGGATCTCTCCTTCCACACACAGCTTCTGCCCCCAGCGCCGTGGGGAATCTCTCCGGGCAGGCTGAGTGCTGACCCTGGCAGGCGGCAGAGTCCCTGCTCCAGCACACGGCCCCTGGGGCACAGGGACCCTGCTCTGACGGACAGCCCTGCACACCCCTGGATGCACGCTCACCTTCACACCCTGCAGCCATCCCTGGGAGAAGGGAGCTGTCATGCCTTGTCCGTCGGATGGTGCAAAAGGAAGACCTGCTCTGAAGCATGTTGTCCTCCTCTACGTTAGACACTAAAAGAGTCCTTCTGACAGATCCCATAAACTATCACATTGACCAGTTTCAGAAGATCCCTGCAGGAGCCGCCCCTGCATTGTGCTGCACACAGAGACTTACTGTGCAGAAGGCTGTGAAGATTTCTCCCCCAGTGAGCTCTCAGCATCCTTCCACTCCCAGATGCCTTTAACCCCTCTCCTCCTCACAGGTCTCCTCTTGGTGCCTTGCAGGCAGTGCCCTCAGCCCTTCTGCGCTCTGCAGAGGTGCTGCTCCTGGGCAGAGCTGTCTCTCTGCAGCGCTGCCTGCTTGCCATCAGCTCCCTCCATCCCAGGAGCCCAGCCCAGCTCAGAGCAGTGGACCAGCCCAAGATATTTTAATGACCCCTCTGGTGGGTTTGTTGCTGAGTCCATAAATCTCAGACAGTGATAGGAAAATGAAGAAACCTCTCAAAGAGTCACAGCCAGATGCAAACCCCAAAGTATTAATGGGTCCCACTGAGGACCATTACTGACAAAGCCTCCCCGGGGTCTGACTAGAGCAGAAAACTGGAGTCATAAAGGACCATTAGACAAAGGCAGCATAAAGGTGGAACAGATTCTGAGTAAAAGTGGATGTTACCCTAAGCTGAAAGGTCATGCCATGACTCCTGGGCCCTGGGAAGGGAGATGCTGTCCCTCACGCATTGCTCAGGTTTCTTCCTAGTGTGGTGGGGGGTTGTGCAATGTGAAGGCCAGAACTATGGTATGAAACCTCTCAGGATGGGAAGTGCTCTAAGGATAACGTGCTTCCTCATAGGCATCTGTGGCAGAGATAACAGCAGTAGACATGTTAGAGATAAAGAGCTCTGCTGTTTGGTTTTTTTTAGACTTTCTTCATCCCTCTATCATCTCCACCATAGGCTGTCCTACAGTGTCCCACACCTGCACCTCTTTCTCTGCAGGCTGTAGACATCCACCCTGATAACACACCTTGCTCTCACCTGAGCAGGGTCCTTCCTTTACTGATCTGTTTCTGTTCTCCCTGGCTGTTCCTTGAAATACAGCGCCTTGGGCTGACTCAGTCTCTTTCTGGGTGACTTGTTGCACCACAGCACTGCCCTTTGAGTGACATTTCTTTATTCTCATGTCCAGTCTTGACCTCCCCAGCTGCATGCTGTGTCATTATTTCTTTCTGTTACTGTTTCTTACTACAAAGAAAAATTTCATCATATCTGAAACCACCCTTCAAGCACTCTCAGACTAATCTTATGCTGTCTGAAGCCTCCACACTTCTGGGTCAAGGAAATCCAGGTCCCTCAGCAACCCCACACAGGTCATGTGCGCTAGGTTCCTAACCCCCCCTTGGCAGACTTCCACTCGACATGCCCTAGTTTGTAATCACTTCTCCAAAATAAGGAGCAACATATTGGGACACACTCATGTCTGTGGGGCCACACCAGCGCTGAGCTGAGCAGGATGATAACTCAGGTTGGTTGAGCTGCCCATGCTCCTAATGCAGGCCCATGAGCAGCTGCCCTTATTCGTAGTGTCTGTACTCTGCTGGCTCATAGGACATCCTTTGCAGTGCCCAGGCCCTTCTCCTCAGAGTCACTGCTCAGCAGGTCAAGTTCCAGCCTGTTCTGATGTATGGGGTTGTTCACCCAGTGTCACCTGCCGATGCAGGACTGACCACTTCTCCGTGTGGTCTTCTTCTCTTAAAGAAGAGAGTTGGGTTTCAAGCTGGGGATCTTTCAAAAAGGGAATGCAGTACCACATGCCCAGGAGCAAGCCCTGAGGGTAGGAGGGAAGCATCAGCTCAGTTCAGCCATCACCTGGAGCTAACCAGAGGCAGAAGGCCAGGCCAGCATCATCCTGCCTTGGTAACCTTGTAAATGCTGGCCCAGGCCTTGGGAGGTAACCAGAAGAGTGGACAGGGAAAAAATGGAAGAAGTAGCACTGCAAAGCCACACAGCACTGCATGGTTGGGATATCTGGGGCAGGTTTAAGAGCCAAGGCAGCCTGACATGGCAGGGATCCCAGAAGTCTAAGAGGCCTGAATCAGCTTGGATCCATATGGGCTTGCTCGAGTGTGGTGACATCTCTGAGCACTGGACAGATCAGCAGTGGACATGGTACCTGTGATGTGGTCTCCCAGTGCTGAGCAGAGGGGAGTGATGTCTTGCTGGCTGCTCTCCTGCTAATACCACCCAGGATGCAGTTCACTTTCAACACTGCAAAGTTTATTTTCAATGTTACTGACTCAGGGGCAAGCTGCTGTTTGCCAGGAACCCCAAGCCCTTTTCTGTCAAGCCTCTTCCCTCCAGTTAGGCTGTACATCCGGACTGGAGTGCAAATGACTTCTTACCACCAGGCATATCTCTCTGTCCAGAAGCACTACTCTCAAGTCAGCTCAAACAGAGAAGCCTTTCTCAGTCAGCAGCACCCTCACACATTCATCTCCTCATGCACCAGGGCTGCAGGCCCACAGATGCCTCTAGGGCAGCCAGGGCTGCCTGTGCAGCCTCTTCTGAAACAGGGCACTGCCATAGCTCTGCAGGGTGCCCTGGGACTTCAGTTGCAGATCTTGGCCTGAGTCCCAGGTTGTTCAGGATTCACAGCGACAAGCCTTCCTCAAGCTCAACTTTTCTTCCAAAAACAGAGGAGGGAAACTGTGGCTTCTTCCAAGCCCTAAGTTCAAACTTCCCTCCATCGCAAAGGAGATTCACAGCCACATTCACCCTCTGCAGCAGAGTATGATGGGACTGACTTACCTGCATGTCTCTTGTCCTCAGGAAGCCCACCACCCTCTCTACACCCCAATCCATGGTAGTTTCTTCCCTTTCCCAGCATAGGGAACCACTCAGCCATGGACGGGGGCAAACTATGGGCCAAGGTTTTGCAAGATACTGGGCTTTGCTGGCCCTGTTGGCTAATCATAGCCTTACAGCCACGGTTCAGTGCACAGTGGCTGAAACAGGCCATTGGAAGCAATGTTGAATCCAGAGACCTGAGGACCAAACCACAGGCAGAAGGAGGTACAACAGCTGTACTCAGCTTTAACAACAACTGTACCAAAGTGAGAAAAGATCTGATGCTGGGGACATGCAGCAGAGCCAAGCCTTTCTCTATGAAACATTGAAATATTTCAGGAAAATAAAAATCAGCACTAAACCCCTGCATGCCATACCAGCTCTGTACCAGCTCAGCCTGGGAGCAGAATCAGCTCCACAGCTGACCTGGCCCAGCACTGCCTGAGTAAATAATCTTGAAACCAGCAGCTGCCACATCAGCCCAGGGAGAGGAGAGCTCTGTGTGTCCTGGGGAGATCTGTCCTCCCTCGGGCATGTGTGTCTCCTTGCTTAGGAGGGGACCTCCATAATACACCTACTTTCCCCCAGGTCCACCTCTCTGGGGACTAGACAGAGTGATTGCCCCCCCATTTATGTGCAGTGTGACAGCGGCAGGTAGACACAAGGCAGCAAGGTCTGACTCCAGGGTTTATTGCAGCTGATTTCTCCCACCGTGGGTAGCAGAGCTGTGAGGTGTACAGAGGCTTGGGAGGAAACAGGGCCTGAGCAAAGCAGGGATACCCCAATTGCATAGGGAAGAGAACTTGCACTGTCTCCCCCTCCCCAGCACAGGAGTGGGCGCGCCCACCCCAAACCAGTGCCTGTGTCCCAGTGCTGGCCAGCACCGCGGCACTGGGCAAAGCTGCCCGTGTGCCTGGGGCTCCAGGCGATTGCTCCTGAGCCACAGAGCCTGGTGGCGGTGCAGGGGCTGCGGCCAGCGGAGGACGTGGCGCGGGGCTGGGACGGGGCTGTTGGCAGGCACGGGGACGGGGCACTGAGCTGGGGATGGTGGCACTGCCACAAACTCCTAGGAGGTTGCGGCACGGTCAGCACACGTCTGTGGGCTTGACCAGGATGAGGGAGGATGCGCAGTCGCCATTATCACAGAATCCTGGCCAAAGGATTTGCTTTTTGGCATTGAGCAGGACGTTCTGGCACTTGTCGTACCACCAGCCCCCGTAGCTGTTGGCACAGTTCCCTCTGTACTGGTCCTGGTCCTTGTCTGTAGTGCTGAACTTCATGTTGTCGTGTATGCCTCCCTTCTTGGGGTGGTAGCTGGTCAAGTAGTCATCCCCATCACCAGAAAATCGGCCCAGCCTCAGTGGGTACCCACTCGCCTCACTCTCTACCCTGAAGATGTCGTACTCGGCGTAATGGGTGACATTGGCTTTATTCCGCACAATGAAGCGGACCTTGTAGGTGCCTTGCTTTGTCAGGAGGTGCAGGTACTCGGTGCCCAGCCAGTGATCGCCTCGCACGTTCCCAAAGCCGTACTTGTAGGTGGTCCAGGATTGCTTCCACGCAAGTTCAGTGTCATGAGAGTTTCTCTGGACAACAGTCCAGCCCTTGCCTTCGGTGTCCATGTCGCACCACACCACGCGTGGGGGTGACCCAGCCGGCTGGATGACGTACACCCCGCTGGGGCTGGTCTTGCGGAGATGGCTGCAGTCTGGAGGGAACCCTGCAACAGCAGCAATGGAAAACACAGGGTGGGGTGGGAGAGAGACAGGTCCTATGGCTCTGTCAGGGCAACAGGAAGCTCCTGCAGTGGAGTGAGGACTCAGGACAAAAAAGGTTGATTTTATCTGTGGTCTACTTTACAGTATAAAGTGGCCTTTCCACTGGTCCATCCACAGGGCAATTGAAAGTCTCTAAGACAGTGGCACTGGTAAGAGCTCTAGGATCCGTTTCTCATTACTTGCTATTTCATTTGAAGCCTTCTAATGTATCTGGCTAAGAAAAGAGGGGAAGAAAAATCTTCCAGATGCCAGTGATGTCCTCCAAGTATGTCTGGCCTGTGATATATTAAGCTGCAGCTCTTGCAAGGGTCAGAAGAGTACAAAATGCTCCACTGGATGACAACATGTGATGAAAATTTATGTTTTCGCTGAGGGTCATGACATTGCAAAAGAAGGCTAAGTTCTACCTTGATGTCATAGAGATCTTTTCCCCCAGCTTGTGTCAGTTTATGTGCTAGCAGGACTGATATGTGATGACTTATTTGTCAAACTCACTGGCTGTCTAATTTGTTTTACTTGGTTTCTTTCTGACAATTTGTTGTAGGTAATTCTGATTCAGCCCATGAAATTCTGCTTTTCTTGGGCACGCAGCCTTGCACAAGTGTGACCCTCCCTTGCAGGAAGGAAGGGAATATTCCTAATCCAACAAGAGCTAAAAGAAAGCAAAACTGCTGGGAGGATCTCTCCTAGAACTGAAGTGTAAAAAGACATAGGCACCACCGAGTAATCCTGCCAAGTTACGGTGCCTGGTCTGAAACCCCTTGGTTTCAGCACGGAGCCACCAAGGGGGTGAGGATAGATGGCTTGATAGGTATCAGGCTGCTTGCCTGACATGGCCCAGGGGTTTGTGTGTGTGAGGAGTTCTTGTGTTGGGCTTCCTAGCACTTCATAGACCTGAGTGTCAGTGCTGAGCCAGGGAGATGTGTTCCTGCTCTGTGCCTTGGTGCCCAGCCAGTGCCCCCCATCCCCTCCGTACTCACCACTCCGGGAGCTGGTGGTGGGTGCTGCTGGGCCAGCGCTTGCATTGAGAAGAAGCATCGCCACCATCATGGGTAGGAGGATGAAATCCTCACGGAGCCAACTTGACCCAGCCTGGGACCCTGAAGAGGAAAGGGCCCAGCACCATTAGGATCCCTGGGCAGCCCCCCCAGCCCCTGGGGAGCTTGGACCAGGGAAAGCAGAGCCACAGGGCATGGGCAGAAGCCAGGGGCTCCCAAGGTGGTGGGAGCTGCAGATTTGGTGCAGGCTCTTCTCCTGCAGGGCTGAAGCAAGGTGACAAATGGCTTTGTCACCCTCCTGGTCAGCCCCTCCCTTGCACCAGACGGCAACCTGCAGATCTGTTCTCAGAATCTGCAGCCCACGAGTAGCTAAGAGAGGACAACATCTAGATCTGGGGGGAGTAGTTTGCCAGGGGGGAGGGACCACAAGAAACAGTTCTTTTTGGAGTCATCATGCTTAAGCCTTTTATATAAGCCACTCCCGCCCAGTGACAGCTAGTGGGAAACCAGATCCAAAGGCTGGGTCCTGTTGCACAGATACCAGCTCCTGAGCAGACAGGAGGAAGTCTCCTGGGCCCACACAGTGGCACAAGCCCAAACTCTGTGCTGGCCACCAGCACACCCTACACCCTGCACTAGCTGTTACTGGAAGACATGCCGTCATGCCTGGGGAAGCACACATGCCACGTGCATTGGTCAGGAAGGGAAAGGACTAAGTTCATATCTAGGTCTCCACATTAACCTCCTTTGACAGGACATGGTCAGAAAGGCCATAGGTAGCCTGGGGAAAGCACAGGCTGGCACCAAGCATGAACGTTGTTTGGTCCTTTGGTCTTGCGTCCCTTCTGCTACCAAGATGCCTGGCAGCATTCACCACCCAGACACCATCATGGCTGCTGTCCTACTAATCATCTTGTGTCTTTTTATACTCACCTCAGTCAGGTCTTGTTTGAGTCCAGAACCACACATGAATAAAGTGTGCTACTGAGAAGATAACTTACCCATCACAACAGCACGGCTGAGCAGAAAGCAGGAACCCAATGGTGTACCCCTCCCATGCCAAGCTTTCCACGGTGACTTTATAGGCACTGCACACACCCACTTGTGTTCACGCTTGCTATTTGTAGAGGCACAAGGAGGCACTTGCAGATTGTGATTCGAGCAGTTTTCAGATCCCATGACAGCTCGACTAAACCCCCTGAGGGGAGGGTGGCATGCCCTTCCAGTCAGAGAAGTACGAAATAATCCCCTCTGTGATGAAGGATTTCAATAGCTGACTCTCCCAGCTACACAAACACTACATGTGAATTGCCCACTTGGAGCAAATTCTGAAAAGCCATGATCAAACTGAAGTGGAGAGACCCAACTTTTTAAGGACATACACACAGAAACTAGCAAAGGAAGAGAAATTGGGTCTCCTATGTGCACAGTCCCAAAGGTGACCTTGGAAAGATGAGGACAGGTACACAAGAGACGTGCCTGCTTGCTAATGCTCCATCGGCAGGTTTCAGGATCAATGAGTTAACTCATTGGGCTGTAACCAGTGTCCAGCAGCTGGAAGTCACTGTACACACAGTGTTCCCTAGCACCCCAATCTGCATGCTTTGGGGAAAGGGCAAGGGCTTCAGGAAACAAGCAGGTGCCTGTGGGTCCCTTTACCTTTCTCCTTCCCAATCTCTGTCTTTGGCCTGGCGAGACCCTGCAGATCCCTCCCTAGCCCCAGCAATGTTCACCAGGGGTTGCTCTCACTACAGGAGCAAAATGCGCTCAGGACAGATTGTCTGGGAGGGCTGTTCTTGGTGCCAGAAGGTGCAGAGAGCTTCATCCTTTGTCATGGCAATTTTAAGAGGATAAAGATGTGGCCTTTCTACTTTCTTCTCCTGTGTTGGTTTCAGTAGCCTACTGAGCAGATGTCTTCTTCATGGCACAGCTTTAAACCTGGTGTTCACAGCAAGTGTCAAGCTGAGGCACTATCACATCAAGCAGTGCAACTTGCATGTCTGGATGGAGAGTAGCATCCAGACCTCTCCAAGGTAAGGTATTCCTGGATCAACTTCCATCTGCACTCTTAGATCTCACCCTTTCGTGCTTGGTCAGAGGTTGGCAGCCCTTGTCTGCAGCCTCATTTAGTCTGGGAGCATGTGGAGCAGCACTCTCAAGTCTATGGAGGGAGGAGGGCCCAAGCTGCCCTGGGAAGGAGAACCCCAGGCAGAGGGCCTGCGTCCCCTTTCTGTGGGGGCAGGGGAAGTGGGTGACTCAGAGGTTCCCATGGGCTGCCCTGGGAGCTAATGCCAGCACTGAGCAATGCAACACCTCAGTGGGGTTCCTGTGCCAGGGCTGGCAGGCAGGCTGCTGCTCGTGAGCCACCACTGGCATCCCTGCTGGCAACAGGGCTGCCAGATACAAAATGGGCCCCACAGGTCATGGAGAGGAATCCTCCTCTGCTGGGCAGGCCAGCCAGAAGCCAAGGGTGCACTCTGAGGTGGCGATGGCCTTGGTGGCGAGCCCCATCCTCATGGGTCTGAGCATGGAAGGCAGAGCTGGGTGTTGGCAACAGCCCCCAGCAAGGCAAGCAGTCAACTGAGTCCAAGATCCTGGACAAAATGACAGTGCAAAAGACAGGGCTGGAGATAAGCTACAACAGGGATCTGAGCAGTCTGTCCAAGAAACAAGCTATCTACAGAGTAGATCCATCCAGAAAACAAGGTCAGAGAGGGTTCTGCAGACCAGCACTCAAACAGCATGGGCCAGGTTAGGGCTGAAGGCCCAGGCCCAAGCCTCATGGGCCCAGGTGAAGGTCCCAGGTGGGACTGGTCACCAGACATTATTGGTGCACTCAGAGCCACAGCAGCAGCAGTTAAGCCTGAAAGAGCCAATCACACCAGCCTGACTGGCTGTACAGGTAGGTCTCTCATGCTCCATAGGCCCTATTTTGCTATAGCTCTTTTGGCTTACAAAGTGGCTTCTCACGGCATGTTCTGAGGCCAGCTCTGCATCTTGCACAAGGCCCAGCACCATGGCTGTGCTCCCACAGAAATACGACTGCATAAGGGCTGGGGAGAGGGCTCTTCAGAGAACTGGAGAAGAGACCAGGAGGACTTCATAGATTCACAGAATGGTTTGGGTCAGAAAGGACCTTAAAGCTCCCCCAGTCCAACCCCCTACCATGGGCAGGGACACCTCCCACCAGACCAAGCTGCTCAAAGCCCCGTCCAACCTGGACTTGAAAAATTCTGGGGAGTGGGCATCTATAGCTTCCCTGGGCAACATGTGCCAGTGTCTC